TTTATTAAAAATTGTTTTATCTTTTTATCATATTGCTCACCGTCAGCCATAGTAGAACTTGTAGCTATTTCTTGAACAATTTCTGTAAATATTTCCACACATTCGCCAGTACAAGGTATCCAATATCGTAACCAAATTAGCAAAAGTATGCTAATCAACAAGGTCAACAAGGTTTGCAAATCCAACATTCTGTGCATTTTTCGTCGAATTAATAAACGACATCTTGCCAATAATTCTTTCATTCTAAGAAAAACAGATCAATCATTTGTTACAACCCCACACAACGTCGCACCATATTTGGTAATCGACTTTTTCACTCACAACCATATTTGGTAATCGACTTTCTACGCTGTCACATGCATTAATCTACTTTTTATGTCTAAAACAATCGCACACAAGAGTTTTCAGACAGTTTATTCACTATGGCTTCAGCACAGCAACAGCAAGATTTAAAGCTCTTCTTTGAATATCAAGGAGTCGACGAAAACAACCTAAATCGCCTATATTACGTTCAAAAGTTTACGGATTTCCAGTTTTTCCGACTAGCAAACCCCGTATACTCGTCGTTCGATAGAGCCTATATCAAGTGGCTACAACAACCTAATTATCAAGAAATGGAAAATAACTCAATTCTTACTCAACCTCAAACACAGACCTTTTTCAACCCTCAACCACCACCGTATACGTCACCGCCTATCTTGAACAATGTGAACGAATGCTACAACACAGACCTATTAAATATCATGAATCCGATAAACCCGAATATTTTATACAACAACAACGATGCAGAATATTTAATGACTGACACAACCACCGAAGTACTAGAATCGAGTAGCGACAACCAATCTCCCGCAACGTCCCCCGTCACCGTACAACCTCCCGCTACCCCCGTGAAAAAACCGCTAATTCCTATGGGTAAAAATATCAACAATTTAAAAAAAAGCCTAAAACGAAAAGCATCTTCATCTGCTCCTAAAAGTGGTCGTCCCAACAAACACGTCCATCTTACACGAATTGCGAACGACGAAGCAGACAAGGAGAAAATAAGCTCGCAAGATGTGATTCTTTATACATTAGACGGAGCAGTGAAAAAAAGAAAAACAATTCTTACGACTAGTAATGAAACTCTTGAAACCAACAATATGAAACATTACCAATGCTATATATACTTAGGAGAAAAACGCGAACGAGCATTAGAGAAAATTAAAATACAGAAAGAAAAACTAGAAAAATTATGTTATCTAGAAAAATTCGCAATAGAAGCATTAAAAAATCGCAAAAATAGAAAACTCGAAAAAAATGTTCTGTAAATAATTGTATAAAAATAATTAATAAATGATATAAAAATTGTATACGTGTGTAATATATCACTACCTGAAAAACACCCGTAATTTCGGGTTACTACAACCTGAAACATGATCGCACAACCCGCAAACACCCACAACACCCTAAAAACGGGTGCGAAAGCATAAAAGAGCGCGAACTTCAAATCCGAATCAGTTCGGTCGACCGCGGCTTTGGAGTAACATCTCGCCCCAGCCCCCGTTCTTGTAAGAACGACGCGCGCGCACCCTCCCCCCCCAAAAAAACAAAAATACACACCCTCCAGAGCGCACAACGGGACATAACATTCCTGAAGTCACATGACCACCAAAACTCCCCCCGTCCGTACAGCCCACCACGCCCATGGCCAACGCCCACTTGAGCACTCTCGCGTAATACTAATTCCAGTTAAATTTTTCTGGTTCCCGCTCCCCCTTTCTTTTTTAATTGTATATATATAACGACTACTACAACGCTTGAAGAAATAAGGGGTACGGTTACAAACCGTACCCCTTTTGATGTGCGCGGTGGTGAACAGCCTAATACAGTTTTTATTACCGAATCCGGTCTGTACAGACTCCTCATGAAATCTAGGTTACCGACTGCCGAAGAATTCCAGGACTGGATATCCGAAGACGTTCTTCCATCCATCCGGAAAACTGGGAAATATGTGATACCTGGTGCCATGAAAGCTATCGATAACATAAGGGTTGAAGAATTATGTGAACTTACAGAGGATGATAAAAAGGAAGCACGAAAAAAACTTGTAAACACAAGCGATAAACTTAAAGATCCAGAAAAAGTCAGACTCGGAAGGAAGGGAGGACTAGTCACACAGGAAAAAATTAGGGAGACCAAAGAGGAACTGGAGAAAAAAGAGGACGAAATCATAAAACTTAAGATTGAAGTGTCATATCTGAAAGGTAAATTAGATGGACTCGAAGTAGAATAAAATAATAAAATTTTTTTATTTCTTTTTCCACAAGAAATAAAAGAGAGAATGTCCGATACCAAAAAAGAATTCGTTCAGGATCTGTACGACGCTGCACTTTTAACGTCTGGAGTCGTTGGAATTTCGTATGCGGCGAAAACAATTGCGGGAAAAAGTTTAGGTGCACCGATGACGTTAGAAGGTGCGATGAAACTCGGTGTGGCCGTGGCGGGAAGTTCCGTGGTCATCGCGTATCTTAAAGACAAAGGTTACGTTCCAAAAACAATCGGTCAATAAATGACAACCAATCTAGTAGTCGATGGATTATTCAATGCGGTCGCTTTTGCAGGCGCGGGATTCTTATTTTCCCATTTGAATCAAAACGGATACAAGAAAGAAGTCAAAAGACATAATCATGCGCTGGAAGAATTAGCGGCGGCGAAAGAAAAATTTTACGAATCCGAAGTGAAAAGACGGAACGATGAAATACGACGACGGCAGGAAATTTTAGATGCGAATCACGATATCGAAGAGACGAATAAAGCATTGGATGCATTAAGAAATTAT